AAATGTATCACCGTTACACCCTGATGACGGTTGAGTTTGAAAACCAGATCGAAACTGCCTGACAAAATGGACGCTCCTTGTACGCAAATAGTATACCAGTGGATGCCAGGCAGGATACACCCACATTTTTGAGAGATGGATAGAGAACAAGCTAAAAAGAAAGTGATTTTTCCTACAATCAAGGGCCATAATTCAGGAAATTACAATTCGATATGCGCAAATCGGATAAAAATTATGACCTCTATAGGGTCCACAAGCTAAAAACGTGATTTTTCGTACAATCAGGGGCCATAATTCAGAAAGTTGAAGTCCAATATGCGCGAATATCGAAAGGAACCGAGATCTTTGGGTTATCAACTTACATTTCAAGTTTCAACAAAATCGGATAAAAATTGTGACCTCTATAGTGTCCACAAGCTAAAAACATGATTTTTCGTACAAACAGGGGCCATAATCCATGAAGTTTCGATCCAATACATGCCAATATCGAAAGCAGCCGAGATCTTTTGGAGATAAACCTATATTTCAAGTTTCGTCAAAATCGGATAAGAATTGTGACCTGTAGAGTGTCCACAAACAAATTGTGGACGGACGGACAGGGGCGACGACAATATACGTGCACATGAAAATGTGGGCGTATAAAAAGAATGTAAAACTAAGGTTGTGGACTCTCTAGATTTTGATGAAACTCAAAATATATCTTTATATCCCAAATATCTCAGTCCATTTCGATATTCCAAATTTCAGACCATAACTTCCTGGATTATGGCCCCTGGCAACGAGTTCACAAAGCATTCTCAGACTTAAGTTTACTCAAAATTGTTTGCCTCATTTTAACTAAAATATAGCCCTTTATAAAACATTTGTTGTTTTAATGTATCAAATACATCAATAAGAAACTATGTGCAAAGTTTTCTGTTTCTGGATCCCAGATATTTCTCATAAACAGTGAAAGAAAGTTGAGTCGGGTCTGATTGTGCGAAAAATCTCTTCTTTTTTTTTTTAGCTAGTTCTCCATCCATCTCTTGCAAATGTTTGCGTATCTTGCGAAAAATCGCTTTTTTTTTGCTTTTTTTTTTAGCTAGGGCTCTATCCATCTCTTGCAAAATGTGGGCGTATCTTACCTGGCAACCGATGGTTAACACATATCTTCATAATTTGTACTGAAATAAATGCTTTCATAACAAACAATGAAGTACCCTATGAACAATTATGCTATTCACCGAACAGTTTCTCTTGAGGTAATGTGTTTTACATTTTTTATACACAGAAATGACAATGACGGTACCCACATAAAATCTTGTGTAGCCATTGGATTTTCAAAATCATAGAATTATGCAGTAAGGTTTCATTTTAATGTGGTTTGGTTAATTAGGTAATTAGGTACACTCAAAGCCATTAAAAACGCAATGCCAAATTCAAAGTTTATTTACTGCAACAACTTTTAACAATTGTACATAGCAATTGTCAAAAATCGAGATAACAAGCATCTGTGGGTAAATTCATGAAAGAATTTACTACAAATGCACAATACCGAAACGTCAGAGAACCATGAAACAAAGCAGGGGTCAGCAGAAGTCAATATCGGGTTTGTCCACCCTGAGCTCTTACACATGCCTGAAGTCGCCTTGGCATGGACTGGCACAGATGTCTGACTACACGATGTGGGATTGTTTGCCAATGATTTTGGAGTGCCTGTGCCAACTCTGCAACAGTTTGTGGTGGCACGGCTTGAGTTCGAACCCGTCATCCAAGTTTATCCCAAAGGTGTTCCATCGGGTTCATGTCGGGAGACATAGCGGGCCAATCCATAACACGGACATAATGATTGTTCAGAAAGTCTCATTAACCTGGCAGTGTTGGGTCGGGTGTTGTCATGCTGGAAAACCATCTGTCTACGGAAGCCATGTTGAGCCAACAATTGAAGCAACACCGGACAAAGGATTGCGTCAACATAATGTTGAGCGTTGAGATTGCCTTGGATCACCACCAACTGGGTCCGGAAGTTGACGTTGATAGCGGCCCAAACCATGATGCCAGCTCCTCTGAAACAATCCCTTTCCAGCAAGCAGTTACGAGCAAAGCGTTTATGTCGACGTCGGTAGATACGGTGATGTTCATCAGGAAAACTGAGGTTGAATCGGGATTCATCCGAGAAGATGACATTTCGCCATGGTGTGTTGTGCAGATACCCCTGATTTGCAGCCCATTGCTGTCCGGCAAGTTGATGACGATGCAAAAGGATTTGACCTTGATAAAGTCGACGGCGGCGTAACCCAAGAGCAGCCAGGCGCCTTCGGACTGTTTGAGGGCGTGAAGGACAAATGGGATGTTGCAGAGAGCAAATGAAAAATGTAATGAGAGAAATGTAAAATGTAGACACGTCAAAAAAAGCATTTTCCCACAAAACATTTGTCATTTAACACTTAACATTTGACGTTTTACATTTAACTCTTGCCTTAGAGGTATTTTGACTTTATCATTACCGGTATTATGACTTTGGACATTGTACTTTTTACATATAATCAATAGAAAAGACATTGTAGCAGAGCATTTAATATTGGCAGCAATACCATTCCATAGGGCAGTCAACAAGTGTTGTCGCATATTTTTATTTTTTTCGGTAATGAAACATTTACAATACACTAAAATCTGATTAAGAGTAACAACTCATGAAGTAATAATCAGAAAACCATTAGAATTTGTTTGGTTTTTATAAAGTTCTGCCCCATGCTAACGTTTAGTATACAAAACCTTTAATATCATGGATTTAGCTGTTCAAGTCATAAAAATTTACTTGTTCGTATCAAGATCTTAAACTCTGTGTATCAATCTGAAGTCAATCGGATGATAACTTTAGCCTTTAGAGCGTCAACAAGATTTTTCAAAGTGATCAAGGGCCATAACTTATCGGTAATCGTTGAAAACAAATATGATTCTTCGTCTCATGACCTCAAACACTCTGTATCAATTTAAAGTCAATCAGATATTAACTTTAGCCTCTAGAGCATTTACAAGAATTTTTGAAGTGATCAAGGGCCATAACTCTGGCAGTAATTATCGAAAATCGCTGAAAATGAATAAACTTCTTCGTCTCATAATCTTAAACACTGTGTATAAATTTAAACTCAATCGGATATTAACTTTAGCCTCTAGAGCGTCCACAAGATTTTTCAACGTGATCAAGGACCATAACTCTGGCAGTAATTATTGGAAATCGCTGAAAATCAATAGGTTTCTTTGTCTCATCACCTTAAATTAGCTAAATCGCTAATATTTGGGACCTAGAAATTGACACAAATGGGTCACAAAGCATATAATAATGTAATGTGAATGTATATAAACTGATTTACATTCAACCGTTTCTGTTTTTACTGTAATTTCTAATCAGTTATGTTCGGAGAAATACGCCAGAAGTCTTAATTAATAGCAGTATTTAGCATCTGGTTATTCCAGTCTACACCGATGATATTTATTGTGCATGCTCTCTAGATAAGAATATAGCGTCACCATTTGACATGATTGTGGAATATGTCTAGCCGCGTTCTTTGAGTCCCTTGTTCCAAAAGGCGCTGTGGTACACGATTGGTGTACCAATGGTAAAATGTTTATTTTGTTTTATATATTAGATATCAGAAGCCCATCTTTTCCCTGTAAGATCACAGGACCAATATTGATTTGAATTGACAAATAATTTGTGTTTTCAATGTCGAAGATTTTTGATGATATTGAGTTAGAGACTTAGCTACTTTAAGCATTGTGTATAAATTTAAAGTCAATCGGATATTATTATTAACTTTGGCCTCTAGAGAATCCACAAGATTTTTTAAAGTGATCAAGGGCTATAACTCTGGCAGTAATTATCGAAAATCACTGAAAATCAATAGGATTCTTCACCTCATGACCTTAAACACTGTATAAATTTAAAGTCAATCGGATATTAACTTTAGTCTCTAGAGCGTCCACAAAATTTTTTGAAGTGATCAAGGGCTTCTTCGTCTCATGGCCTTAAACAGTGTAAAAATTTAAAGTCAATCAGATATTAACTTTAGCCTCTAGAGTGTCCACAAGCAATTGTGGACGCCTGACCGGCGGACGGACGGACGGACGGGGCCGACGACAATATACGACCACATTTCAATGTGGGCATATAAAAACGAATTAGGCATTGCGTTTTTAATGTCTTTGAGTGTATGTACCTTTTGACTCATTTGAGGCCAGATTAATTGGAAATTAAGGCTTGTAACATTTTTGTAATCAAAAAGCTGCGCAAAGAAAGGCCTTAGAACATCCACCACTGTGGCTGGAGTCGAATACAGAAGTCATCAGTAGTGAAACCATTTCTAGGGTCTGTGGTGAATAATGGCGACGAATTGCAATTTCATGAATTTGCCATGACGTTAGCGTAAAAAGGGATTATAGGCTAGAAAACAATAATATCAAAATATTATAACATGATATTATATACGATTATGTATAATGTAAGGGCATTGTTGGCAGATCTGACTACTTTTTTAGGCGGCCCTTTTTTCACAAATTTGCCATGACGTTAGCGTAAAAAGGGATTATAGGCTAGAAAACAATAATATTAAAATATTATAACATGATATTATATGATTATGTATAATGCAAAGGCATTGTTGGCTGATCTGACTACTTTTTTAGGCGGCCCTTTTTTCACAAAGATGATATCAGAAATGGAAAATCTCTTTGAATAAACAATGGTGTGATGCTGGTGGTGTGTGACAATGAGTGGTACACAAATGTAATTAATGTTTTGCGGATTTGAAATGTTCAGGTCTGAAATAGGCGAAGCGCTCAATTTTCAATCCCAAGTTAATGGGCACTAACCCTAACCACATACCCAAGACTTTGGGGGTAAAAAAGTAAATAGGGTTTTATATTTGAAAGGGGTTAAAAGAGAAGAAAAACAGAAATGAAAAGATGAATGAAAAAAGTTGTCAAATCAACCAACAGCGCCAATGTAGGGTAGGTTATACCTATTATGCAGTTATGACTGTCAGAGCTAACATTAATAGGAAAAGCATGGTTAAGTCCAATGATCGAAGTTGTTTCTTCCACAGCTGACTTGCTCATCATTTCTGTAAGGCTACTCTCACTATCCGTGGTCTTTCCACTATCATCATTGCCATTATTTTTGATGCGTACTGGGAAGACTGGCTTTTTTATTTTAGATTCCGAATCCATTCTTATTGATACTGATACTATTAATAATAAATAACAATAATAACCGGAACTTTATTTTCAAAGGTTATTAGGGTTGATGCTATATCGTATCTAGCGAAATACCACAAAGGGGAGGAGCTACCAATAGCTAGTTGAGCAGACATTCTAACGTATTTGTAGGCGGGAATTAAAAAGCATAACCACGCCTTGACATGATCGGTGAAGGACGCTTTCACAATCACAACTTCAATGTATCAGCGAAATTTTGCCAAATTACATTTTTCATTTGTCAAAATGTGATTTCCATTTAGTTGCAACTACCAAACTTGTAGTCCAGTCCGTATTGTAAATCTTTCGGCTTTTCGGGCAGAAATCATGGAATAAACTTTATTTTGGAGGTTTCGACATGATCTAGGCCTGGTAGGCCTAATGTTGACATTTTTTTCTGAGTAGCTCTAGGTTTCATAAGTAAATATGCCATTGTATGGTATGCCGATACTTGAATGGTGGCCATTTAAGGCGTTAAAGTTAAAAGTCCAACTTATTTTTATTTTCACCTAATTTGTAATGTTATCAAGATTTCAACTGTGATTTGGCACTGTATTATTATCGACAGGGGCAGTGGCGGCGCCAGCCGTCGGTGATTGGAGCTAGGGGCAAAGTCCAAGGTTAAGGGGGCAAAGGCACGAGCTTCAACTAGGGGTAGGGGGCCTCCCCCAGAAAAAATTGAAAAACAGGTTGCCGGAAATGCAGCCTGGCAGTATTTCGCAGGCACTGATCGATGAGGTAAAGTGTCAAACGAACGGACTTGAGAATCACGACGAAGCCCACTCACGAGCATCAATTTGTAGGGAGTCCTCCCCCAGAAAATTTTGAAAAATAGACTGCCGGAAATGCTGTCTTAAAGTATTCTGTCAGGCACCGATCGTCGAGATAAATAGATCTGCCCAGATACCGTTCGTCGCCTGATCACTATATAGTTTATCCGAAAAGGGAACAAAATGTCAAACGAACGGACTTGCGAAACTCAACGAATTCCCCTTGTGAGCGCCAAAGTAGCGAGTCCGTTGGGGACCTCGCCAAGAAAATTTTGAAAAATGGACTGTCGGAAATGCTCTACAACATGCAAGTTTATGACTGAGTGGGGATGTGGGATTTATTCACCGTAGAAGGTATTGATTACCGAAACGTATCACAAATACTTTTTTTTATTTTCTAAAATTATTGGGGGAGCATTAAGCAAACTTAGCTTTAGTCTAAGTAACATTATGCATCTTTATAAATAAAGTTTCATTTATTTACATTTTAATTTTGTTCTATTTTGATTTTTTCTTCAGGATGATGCTCCGATAGTCTATTGAAAGTCTAATGCCAAAGTAGAAATTGGTATGTAAATGGTTTTATCCTTTGACAACAATTCAGCTTACATATACTAAAAATAATAAAGTGCCCATTGTTTGTTCCCGGTGTTGACCAAGTAAATTCATCTCGATTTTCCGGCGTGGTTTCCCCTTGTCAGTGAGTGGTGCAGAACATAGGACCTGGCAAGGACAGCTGCCTAGTCGTTCGGTAGAATGAATAACCGAGGTCCTGTGTACACATTGGCGTGCAAGTAAAAGTTCCCTTGCCAGTTGAATTTGGATAAAAGAGTAGGCCTTAGCGCCGCTGTCTGGTAAAATTTCATTCTAATAGCCCAGTCAGAGCCGTACAGTAGGACGTTATACCTCTTTTCATTTCTATAATATTGGGAACCCCAAAGTCTCATGTGAGTAAAGTGTTGGTTCACTGACATGGACATACTGTGTATGATTCCTGCATTGGCTCAGAAAGTTCATGTGGATTTTCCGTGGTGTAGGACGCGGAGGGCATGGTAGTGTAGACATCGTTCAGATAGCAGAAAAAAACAGGTCTTTGTACACATTGGTATGTACATTTAAAAAGGCTTGACTGTAAGAGTAGGCCATTGCACCTCTGTCCAGGCAAAATTTCCCTCGTAGCTCATTGCATGGCGTTTGCCTGTTTTTATAAGCTCAATTGGAAATTAAAACCTATTTAAGTTTATTTCATGTATATAATATTGACAATAACAATTGTTAACATTTTAGGCGTGCAGTCCTGAGAAAAGAAAAGCAGAAAAGAGGCTTCGGATTTAACATGTGTCAGCAATAAGGTAATTTCTGGTTCTTGTAAAACTATTATTATTCCGGGTCGAACATTGTACGAGGTTTGTTTGCCCAGATTTCATTTACAAAGCATATCTCATAAACCGTTTAAAGTATCTATCGTGGTTTTTTCCGGGTCCTCCTGGTTTCCTTCCACTGCTAAAGACTCGCAATGCGCAAGCGAATTATTGAAATCTGGGTCCTCCTGGTTTCCTTCCACTGCTAAAGACTCCCAGTGCGCAAGGGAATTATTGAAATAAAATTGAACCATATGTTAGTCCCGAAATGACCTAGTTTGCGTCCAGTGGAGGTGTATTTATGAAACTTCATGACATTGTGTTGTAAAATTGCATCTAGAACTGCCTTCAGTTTGTTGATACTTTGATGGTAGTGGTGGTAATTTGTAATTTTAGTTAATTTATGTCCACATGACTAAATTCATTTATTAAAGACGAATATTTACCATTATTCTTTCAGGCCCTAGGATTCCAATAAGTTGAATTTCTTTGTACAAAACTATTAAAGAGAAGATTCAAGAAAAACTCTGTATTTGCAATACCAGAGGAAGTGTTACATTTACCATATCTCCAGAATTGCAACTTTGTGTTTGTAATCTCGACAATTTATGTGCAACATTTTGTTGAAAGAATCCTCAGTATTTGTTGTGGTGAACAAAATAAATATTGGCTGTCAAGAGGCAAATTGTATGTTGACCAAATATGAAAAATAAAGTTATACATGTTTCAATCACCCTTTTTTTTAAATGCCTCTCTTCTTTTACAAATTAAGGCCACGTTTTCTGCAATATGGGGAAATGCTGCATTTGGGGCCAATCTGATGAAAAGAAATGAAATGGGGATTAACGTCCTAGTTTTTTTGTACTGACCGGGCTTATTAAGACAGGTATACATCATGCAGCGTGATATGATTGGAATTTTGACCAGACAGCAGCTCTGCGGAATACTCTTTATTTCAAATTCCTACGTGTACATGCCCCCCCCCCCCCCCACCAAAACTATTCACAAGGGGAACACCGGAAAATCATATGATAACCTTCGTCAGTCAACACTGGGTTGAACATTGAGCCACCGTGGCTCCTCTGAAGGAAACATTTAATGTGTATGCTGTTGGGACCAATCTGTAGACAATTGTGGTCTGAAGACCAATCTGAAAACTAATTCTGCTGTGATTGCTATTTTGAGGAAAAATTCTGTTTTAAACGATAGTCTATCGAAAAATCGAATAATCTAAAGAAAAATCCTGCTGTGGTGTATAATCTAAAGAAAAATCTGACTGTGGTGTATAATCTAAAGAAAAAAATCCCTGCTGTTTTGACCACTCTAAAGAAAATCCTGCTGTGAGAACCAATCTGAAAACAAATTCTGCTGTTTTGGCTATTCGGACGAAATATTCTGTTGTAATGGATAATCTAACAAAAATTCTGCTCTGATGAATCTAACAACAATTTCTGGTATAATGGATAATCTAAAAAAAAAGATTGCTGTTGGGAGCAAACTATAGAAAGTTCTGCTGTGAGAACCAAGCTGAAAACAAATTCTGCTGTCATGGCTATTGTGACGAAAAATTCTGCTGTGGTGGATAATCTAACGAAAATTCCTGTTCTGCTGAATAATCTAACCACATAGTCCTGCTTTTGGTTCTAAGCTATAATAAAAATTCTGCTGTGATAGCTATCCTGACGATAAATTCTGCTGTGATGGCTATTCTTCTGAATAATTATGCTGTGATGGATAATGTAACGAAATTCCTGATATGATGGATAATCTACTACTGTTTAAGCCAATCTATAGAAATTCTTCCTGTAACAACCAAGCTGAAAACAAATTCTGCTGTCATGGCTATTGTGACGAACAATTCTGCTGTCGTGGCTGTTGTGATGAAAATATTCTGCTGTGGTAGATAATCTACCGAAAATTCCTGCTCTGCTGAATAATCTTACCAGTTTCCTGCTGTTTTGACCAATCCATAATAAAAATTCTGCTGTCATAACTATTCTGACAAACAAAAAATTCTGCTGTGATAGCTATTTTTTTGAATAATTCTGCTGAGATGGATAATGTAACGAAATTCCTGATAAGATGAATAAACTAAAGAAAAATACTGCTGTTTCAGCCAATCTATAGAAAATCCTGGTGTGAGAATCAAGCTGAAAACAATTTCTGCTGTCAAAGCATGAGATAATGATATAGACATTATGTGATATCACAATGAAATGAATAAAAATGTCATTGCATTAATTCATAATAAAAATTGACGTCAAACGTGATGTTGAATGTCTCTGTTTAAAAAGCTCAATGTGTATGTATATACGCCAAAATGACGATAGAGACCATGCGGGAGGGAGAGAGGGGGATACATTGTCTCAGGGACCTGGCAAACCCCCTCCTGCAAAAATTCCTGGATCCGCCCCTGGTCATGGCTATTGTGACGAACAATTCTGATGTGATGGATAATCTAACACTATTCCTGATATGATGGATAATCTAAAGAAAAATCCTGCTGTTTAAACCAATCTATAGAAAATCCCACTACCAATCTATAGAAAATCCTGCCCTTAGAAACAAGCTGAAAACATATTCTGCTGTCCTGGCTATGATGGCTATTGTGATGAAAATATTCTGCTGTGATGGATAATCTACCTAAATTTCCTGCTCTGCTGAATAATCTAACCACAATTCCTGCTTTTGCGACCAATCTATAGAAAATTCTGCTGTGATACCTATTCTGACGAAAAATTCTGCTGTGGTGGTTATTCTGCCGAATAATTCTGCTGTGATTGATAATCTAACGAAATTCCTGATATGATGGATATTCTAAAGAAAAATCCTGCTGTTTAAACCAATCTATAGAAAGTCCTGCTCTTAGTACCAAGCTGAAAACAAATTCTGCTGTCCTGGCTATTGTGGCGAAAAATTCTGCTATGATGGATATTGCGATGAAAATATTCTGATGTGATGGATATTGTGATGAAAATATTCTGCTGTGATGGATAATCTAACCACCGTTCCTGCTGTTTAAACCAATCTATAGAAAATCCTGCCCTTAGAACCAAGCTGAAAACAAATTCTGCTGTCATGGTTATTGTGGCGAAAAATTCTGCTATGATGGATATTGTGATGAAAATAGTCTGCTGTCATGGATAATCTACCAAAATTTCCTGCTCTGCTGAATAATCTAACCACAATTCCTGCTTTTGCGACCAATCTATAGAAAATTAGCTATTCTGACGAAAAATTCTGCTGTGATAGCTATTCTGACGAAAAATTCTGCTGTGGTGGTTATTCTGCCGAATAATTCTGCTGTGATGGATAGTCTAACGAAATTTCTGATATGATGGATAATCTAAAGAAAACCCCTGCTGTTTAAACCAATCTATAGAAAATTCTACTGAGAGGACCATAGATGGTACAGTTCTATGGTGAGGACTAAGCTGAAAACAAATTCTGCTGTAATGGATATTCTGAATAAAAATTCTGCTGTGATGGCTATTCTGACAAAATATTCTGCTGTGGTGGATAATCTAACGGAACTCCTGATATGGTGGATAATCCAAAGAAAAAACCCTGCTGTTGGTACCAATCTATAGAATATAATGTTGTGGGAACCAATCTGAAAACAAATTCTGCTGTGATGGCTATTCTGACGAAAAATTCTGATGCGCCGAACATTCATAGCCTACATAAGATAAACTATCGTGTACATCTCTATATTCTTTTAATAAACAACTTAATACGTTTATTTAAACAGGCTTTAACTTAACTGACACAGTACATGTATACAACTGAGTCCATTATTTTTCTTTTTTTTTTGGTTACATTGTCACTTTGTAAAGTGTCCCTGAACACGGTATATGAAAGGGTGCACTATGTATATGCTGTAATAATATATGCTGTAATGGCAGGCCTAATAAATATGCTGTAATAGTAATCTATAGAAAATCTTACTGTTGGGACCAATCTAAGAGATTATCTATTGAACATCCTGCTGTGAGGGCCAATCTGAACCAATATAAATCAGTTCTGCTTTGAGGGGTGGGGCAATCTATAGACCGAATTATGGTGTGGGCACCAATCTTAAGAAAGATCTTGCTGTGAAAGCCAAACTGAACAAGAGCATCGCTAACGCAGCAATATACGTCCACATTCCTGTTTTGTTTGATATGGTCCAGTTTGCATTGAGGGTCTGTGAAATAAAACTGGGTTGTAGGACTGCTATCAGTTTAACACTTCGTTCACATTAACAGAACACAATTTTATTTTAAAACAATCGATGTCTTTATTCTAAAAGCATGGCGTTTCGAATAGGTATGCAAAGTTTCAAAAGGATCTGTTAAGAATTGCGGTCTGTAGGCAAAACACAAGACACACAAACATAAGGCGTGGCTATGTCCCAAGGGGTCGAGCATGCACCAAAAATAATAATAGAGGTCGGCCTTAGGATTAAGGAATAAGTATAAATAGTAGCCTTAGGCTATAAGGAATAAGTATAAAGAAGTTTTCAAGATGATCGATTAAGAAATGCGGTCTGCAAGTGACACACAGACATAAAAAAAGAAAATGGGCGTAGCTCTGCCCCTGGGGGTTGGGTATTCACCACAAATAATAGGGATGTTCCTTAGGACAGAAGGAATATGTATGCTAGGTTTCAAGGTGATACGATAAAAAAAATGCGATCTGTAGATGACAAACAAATAAATAAATATAATGGATGGGCGTGGCTATGCCCCTGGCGGTCGGGCATGCACCAAAAACAATAGGGATCATCGTTAGGGTATAAGCAATTCATATGAAATTTTTTCAAGACGATTAAGAATTGTGGCCTGTAGGTGACACACAGACAGAAAAAGAAAAGAAAATGGGCGTGGCTCTGCCCCTGGGGGTAAAAAAAACAATAGGGATCATCGTTAGGGTATAAGCAATTCATATGAAAAAATTTCAAGACGATTGATTAAGAATTGTGGCCTGTAGGCGACACACAGACATAAAAAAGAAAATAGCCGTGGCTTTGCCCCTGGGGGTTGGGCATGCACCCAAAACGATAGGGATGTTCCTTAGGGTACAAAGAATAAGTATGCAAAGTTTCAAGATGATACGTTAAGAAATGTGGCCTGTAGACGACAAACAAACAAATACAAAAAATGGGCGTGGCTCTGCCCCGGGGAGGCGAGCATGCACCAAAAACAATAGGGATCTTCCTTGGGGTATAAGGAATAAGTATACCAAGTTTGAAGAAAATCCAGTAAGAATTGCGCCCTGTAGGCGACACAAAGACACACGAAAAGAAAATGGGAAATGGGCGTGGCTCTGCCCCTGGGGGTTGGGCATGTACCCCAAACGATAGGGATGTTCCTTAGGGTACAAAGAATGTGTATGCAAGATTATAAGTTAAGAAATGTGGCCTGTAGACGACAAACAAACAAATACTAGAAATGGGCGTGGCTCTGCCCCTGGGGGTCGGGCATGCACCAAAAACAATAGGGATCTTCCTTGGGGTATAAGGAATAAGTATACCAAGTTTGAAGAAAATCCAGTAAGAATTGCGCCCTGTAGGCGACACAAAGACACACGAAAAGAAAATGGGCGTGGCTCTGCCCCTGGGGGTTGGGCATGCACCCCAAACGATAGGGATGTTCCTTAGGGTACAAAGAATGTGTATGCAAAGTTTCAAGAT